GGGGAGGGGGGGGAATATATATTCTCTGACTTGAAGTAAGATGGTGGGCTTATTATAGGACAACGAAACAATATTTGTTGGTATTTTTCACTGAACTATGATAGACATTGGTGGGCTTATTAACAGGCATGGTCTTATTAGGAGATAAACATGGTAATTCTTCTAATGATTTTCAGAGTGAACATTTTCATGTTCGAATTGATGATACAATATTTCATAGTGAAGCAGTGTATGCACCGGGGTATTTTTTGCAAATCTTTGTAAATGCTGAATTAGCTTGAAAAATAAGTGTTCATATATTATGATATTTATATAACATCCAAGGAAATGAAAAATGATAAACGAGTAATATGCAAATGCTACTGGTGAAATTTCCCCACATCACATTTAATTTCTCTCTCTCTCTCCTTCTCTATACATATATATACTAATATATTAAGTCTCCTCATCTCATTATCCCCCTTTGTTTCACACCTATTGCACTTCAAACGATCTGGTAACAATAACAATGTACATACACACAGGATCCCTATATCATATTTTCTTAAAGAAATATACAAAATGCCTAAAATCAATGTATACCACATAGATGCAGTGCCACTAGGAAAAAAATGTCCTCTTCTTTGCCTCTAGAAAGCACGAGGAGATAATCAACCAACACTGTCGGGTGGTACAGTGGATAGCCCACTTGCCTTTCATCAAGGCGGCCGGAGTTTGATTCCCTGATCAGACGTGAAAAGGTATGGGGTCACCTGCCCAACCACGTGGGTTTTCTCCGGGGTACTCTGGTTTCCTCCCACACATTAACATCCGGGAAAACAAGAGTGATTACTATAAGTTGAAATAACTTGTTTCATAATTGTTGTAAAATAAATAAAGTCTTTGTTCATACACAAAATGTATATTCATCTAACACTGTACATAACTAACGGGCCAGAAAGTTCAGACATACCGGCAGCTGAAGATCAAATTTTTTTTTTTGGTTCCTGCAAACAAACCAGGTGTAGATCCATTCCGTTATTTTTCAAACATAGCAATCCCCTTTTCCTGTGATTACAAGGGAATCGGAAACTGATTGGCACACCCTGTATTTGCTTGTTAAAATGCTTTAAAGTTGTAAAGAAAAACAATTAAATGAGAGGTTGGTATGGCTTCCTAGATCTGTCCTTGCAGACAGAACACCTGTCATTGTGGTATTATGTACTTCTGGAGAGAAAATAGTTATGCCTTGGCTATTTTATTCCTATAGACTAAAAAAAATTCTAGGCTAAAGGCCTTTTTTTGAGTATCATCTCACTGAAATATCCTAACCTACACATGATAGCATGGCACTTTAAATGGTTACATTATGTGTATGGTAACATTGTACAATCGATGACAAATCAAAACAACTGGTTGTTAGAAGCCTGATTAAAGTAAATCCCAACAAATGCATATTTCTTCATGAACAAATTAAATGCATGTATTCCAAATTTACTATGACTGCTGTAACTTGTAACTATGACTGCTGTTACCTGTAACTATGAATGCTGTGACTTGTAAATATGACTGCATGGTTACAGTTCAATATGAACTTGCACATATAAAATCATTAAATTTTCACTAAGCTTATAATCATCTGAACATCTGGTTTCTGAAAGTACAAAACATGAAAAATATTAAATGAAGGAAAAAGTTACTTCAAACACAAATTTGGTTATCCATTTGTGATGTAACTATCACAGATGCAATCTTTCCAGATGTCTCCTTCATCAAGCTACAGATCAAATCAGTGGATTATGATGTCGCTGTTTTCGTCCTGTGATCAAACTGGTAGATTCTGTTGCCGCTGTTTCAAATGCTGAAAATATATCAAGCAAAATAAAGTTAAGCTCATCAATCTAAAACGTTTCCCAAATTTTTACGTTATCTGTCTATATGTAGTCATCAATGGCCTTTAAAACCGGTCATACACCAAAGAAATACCTCTCCTCACAAAAAAATTCTTAAATTGTAGTTGATAATGAGATAACCTGTTGCTGATATCCACTGCAATGACCCAGTGAGTTTGATAACACACACTCTCTCAGCTCTTTGAATATAAGAATTACATTACAAACAAAAATCATATGAATCATAATCAATGGCTCTTTATGGGAAATTGTTTTTGAAACTTTGAATTTTAACAAAACCTGGTTTCTGTGAGAGTACACAAAAGGGCTTTATGAAAAGTTCTTTTTACACAACCAATAAGAGAGCTCTTATTGGTTGTGTAAAAAGAAGTTATCATTATCCATAGTTACCAACCCGAAGAAAATGTTTAGAAACACAAAAGGGCGATTGAAAGCAAATGTGACAAGAGGCCCAATTGGCCTGAATTGCTCACCTGGTATTAGTCTCATATCAGTAACTTTTTAAGTGGGCCAAGAGCAAACATATGAAACTGTGCTAAATTAAGCAACAGTCCAAATACAGGAATGTACCACCATCCAGGGCCTCTTGTTTATTGAAAAGAAGTTGCATGAAGAATTGAACTCATTTGACCCCTGTGATCTTGTTCATTTGAACAAACTTGGTAGCCCGGGTTAATTGATAGCCTTTACATAGAACTACTGTTCACTGATTGGCTGAAATTGGCATCTTGCATTCACACCCCTGTCCTACTCTAGTTCCATATTACTGCCCAATTTAGCATTTCTCCATTCATCCTGAACCTTTTGGTCATTCAGAAGAAGTTGCTTAAATCATTTACTAGAGGTAATATATGTGGTGAAAGAAGACGATAGTTTGAACACTCACAGTACATAAACCTGTAATACCTACCAATCTCTTTAAGTCCATTTCCAAAATTCTTGCAGACAATATACAGTTCCACCATCATTATCAGCCAAACCAGTAAGGCCAGAATACCTGAAAACAATCAACCAAGGATTAAAGTAATTTTTCCATAAAAAAACCCAACGTTGTACATTAGTGTTGGTGATCAGCAGACATTTAAAGTCTTGGCCAAGACCCTCAGCAGACATTTGAAGTCTTGGCCAAGACACTCAGCACACATTTGAAGTCTTTGTCAAAGCTTGCAGCAGGCAGCAGACATTTGAAGTCTTAGTCAAGACTCTCAGCAGACATTTGAAGTCTTTGTCAAAGCTTGCAGCAGGCAGCAGACAATTGAAGTCTTTGTCAAGACCCTCAGCAGACATTTGAAGTCTTGGCCAAGACCCTCAGCACACATTTGAAGTCTTCTTGTTTCGGAGCACAAAAGGCAACAAGGAAACATGAATTAAGTTTTGCATTTCACTGAAGTACCAAGTTTTTAAAAGTTCTGTGATGAAAAGGATCTTCAATAAATTTAGTACCTTCAGGAAAGGTCTAAACTAAATTTAGCTATAATACAATGTATAGATTTTAAAGACACAACTTCATTTCCACTATTGGACCCTGCCCCTCTGCCCCTAAAGGACCACAGTTTTGGTGTATACATCATTTGATTCCCCATGGCCAGCGCATGCTTCAGGCAAAATTTAGTTAAAATTTCCACTTGATTTCGATTATTGGGACTCATCGCAATTTTCCTCCTCCTCCTGCCTACTAAAATCTTTTGTGTCTGGGAATCAACTTTCATGTATACACTTATGATATACCATTGTGACTGATACAGAGATCCTTGCCCCAGTTTTTTAGAGTACAGACCTGCAGTCAGTACGGCATAAGTAATGGTTTCACTCTGCTTCAGGTTATCATCAATGTTCACATACTCCTGCCAAAAGAAAAGAAAAAAATAATAAAAAAGAACAGATACCAGAACTGTAGAATTGTTTAATATTGTTTGTAGCTCAATTATCATATGATCAATTAGAAGACTGTCATGCTCTTTAGTATGAAGCACTGAGACCATTATTATCACCATTTGGAGAACCAGGAGGACTGTCGCCTTCAGATAGATATCACCTCTATATGCTGGTCATCATATTATAAAAGTCTCCTTTAAATGAAGGTAAGCCTTGTACAAAGATTACAATCAGAAGAAGAAATAAGGAGACAAAAGTGACGGTCATCTCTGATAAAGGGACTATCACCCTCTAATAAAACACTGTCACCCTCTCATAGAGACTATCAGCCTCAGATAAAGATATTTTTACATTTAGATAACGAGACTATCACCCTCTGATGAAAAGACTGTCACCATGGATAAAGATACTGTTTGTATTAGAAATAAGTATGAGGCTGCCAACCAAGATAAATATATATGTATAGCTAGTCCAGTTCAAATTGTAATTTAATCAACAACTTTTTTAATTGCTATCTGGCCATTTATTATGTTATGATCAACAAGTACACTGACAATTTATTAGTAAGGGTCTCAATGTGTGTCTCAAAGCTACCCTTGTGAGAGGTATGACCGGTGGTATGTCTTACATTGGCTATTTTGTAGATATAGTAGGAAGGCTTTGCCAGTCCAAGGAAGGCGAACACAAATGCTCCTGATCGCCATTCTTTCTTCAGCTACAACAATAAGTACACCTTATTAACAAGAGGCCGTAGGGACCTGTATCTCCCACCTGGATCTTTATGCCTAGTGTAGGTATATTATAAGGTTAAGCCAGACCCTAGGGCGGGGATCTCGATAATTTCCAAGTTAAAAATCCTTTTTGGCCCCACCCCTCAGACCAGGGGTCAACCCTTCAACTGCTACAATTTTGAATCCTGAACTACCAAAATGTGCTCCAAACCAAATATGGTTGATATCCTTGACTTTGTTTCAGAGAAGAAGTACCGTTTTGACCAAATTACCCCTTTTTGACCCCACCTCTCAGCCTTCCATTTGTAAAATTCTATATCCCCATCACCTGAGAATGCTCCAAACAAAATATGGTCGATATCTATCTCTTATTCCCAGCAACATGGCTTATTTACCCCTTTTTCGTCCTGCCCCTCAGAACCCCCCGGCGGTCAGCCCCTTCATTTGTACAATTTTGAATGATTACTACCTAAAAATGATTCCAACCAAATGCGGTTCATATCCATCTTTTGGCTCCAGAGAGGTAGATGCTTAAAGCAATATGGTCAAAATATCCCTTTTTGTCCCTGTCCCTCAGCCCCCCAGGCGGTCAGCCCCTCCATTTGTATAATTTGAATCCCCACCACCTGAGAATGCTTCCAACTAAAAATGGTTGAGATCCTTCTCTTAGTTCTAGAGGAGAAGTCTTTGAAAGCAATACGGCCTTATAACCCCTTTTTGTCCCACAAGGGGGGTCAATCCCTCCATTTGTACAATTTTGAATCCCCACCACCTAGGGATGCTTCCAGTCAAATTTGGTCAAATCCAATAAGTGGTTTAGAAGGAGAACACGTTTGAAGAAGTTTTTTGACTGAAGGACGACGGACGGCACGATACGGCATGAGCTCAACTTGGTCCTTCGGACCAGGTGAGCTAATAAATCAGTCCTCAATTAGTTTGAAAATACAGGTATAAATGTACATGATATTTCAAAGTCAAGTACTGTGGATATATATAAACCTACCACATGTAAAAATGCTGTAAAACACTCTAAATCTCGCAGTCAGCCATCACTGGTTTATTTTAAAATGTATTTTCACTGATGGTTTAGGCAAAATACAGGAAGAATCAGTGTTGATAATACAGTAAAATCCCACTTACTCAAACACGTGGGGACCAGGTCAATAGTTCGAGGAATACATGGTATTCAAGTAATCCGAGGATGGTCTTAGATTGTCAAGTATATGTCTGTCAAATCTTGAGTGATAATAATAATTAAACATATGAATGTATTGTAAAATGGTACTTATGCTATTATTAAGCATGTCGCCGATAACGGTAAACTGTAGACTTAGCCCAAGGTATTTTCACAGTGCCGCTGTGATACACAGGTAAAACAAGTCAGGCGTGACACACAGGTAAAACAAGTCAGGCGTGACACACAGGTAAAACAAGTCAGGCGTAACATATGTCACACCTGTTCGACAAATAGTTAGGATTGAAACTATGTCCATGAAGAGTCGGGGACAAAATTTTGTTCGAGGAATAACGGTTCGACTAATCCGCGGCAACTTTACAAAGAATATGTACAAACTCAGTCGGGAACAAACAACCCTTTCATCGAATGAGAGCCAGGGGTATGCCAGTAAACCGAGTTCGAGGAGGTGGGGTTTTACTGTACATGTATACTGTCTAGAAAGTCATTAGATGAACTTATTGTTCTGTGACTTCTCCTTAACAATCTGATTTATTGGAGAAATCAGGAATAGTTGATATTATTTAAGAATCGAGACTGATGAAATCCAATAACAGCAGGATTTACATTCGTTTCCACCGGATGTACAGCAACACCTCGCGTCAGCTCACTTTCAAAGCATAACATTACGATAGAAGTTGTTTCTCTTTGTACGGTCCAAGCTATAAATTGCCGATTTATGGCTTCGTGTGGGAGGGTGGGAGAATATTTTCGAATGCGTGAGATTTATGGCTCACGTGGCGTGAGACATGTTCCAGAGTGAGTAAGGACGGCTCAGCGTGATATTTTGTCTCACGCCGTGATAGTTGGCAACCCTGATAACAGTACTACTGTCTACTCACCACAACAGAGCCGAGTATATTCCAGAGAATCGAGTATGGGATTCCGACCCCGAGCACAACCTGTTCTAGGACGTTCAAACTGGTGCCCTTCCTCAATACCAGGACTACCATGCTCACCTGTAAAACACACACAGCATACTTCAACAGTATAACAGTATCTCTCATCAAACACACCTGCAATTATTTCTGTCATGCAAAATCACATTTTCTCCACATGATTATATTTCCCTATTGCCATTGACTTTCAGCTTTTGATGTTGGTATTTGTTCTTAGATCCATTTGATAAATGTTTCAGTTAAATTTAACATATATGGTCAGTCTTTGAAGCAAACAGGAATATCTGTTCCCCTTCAGTCAATCTCATTCATCTGTGGCTTCCCAAACATAAAAAACTTTGAGGTGAATGTTTTACTTACCGTTACTTGAACATCAAATTTCAATGCACAGGAAAATATTGAAGCTTGGGCATAAAGATCTGAAAAATTAAAAGAAGGATGATCTAGACATATTGACAATTGTCTGATTCCTGGTTCTGGTTGTAGTTTATTTAGCCACTTTTATCATACACAAGAAATATGTTAATGATATTTAAACAAGGGAAACCAGCGGAAATCTAATCTTATAATTTTCGTAAAATGGTCTTTTTGTATTTTCTACTCAAACAAACAAATGCTCCAATTGACTATTGGAATATATTGATCTGTTACATACAAGCACAAGATGATTATTTTAAGCAGTATGCAATGTGGGAGACATCAATGTGGGAGACATCATTGTGGGAGACATCATTGTGGGAGACATCAATGTGGGAGACATCATTGTGGGAGACATCATTTAGGATTGCTTACAGAGATTTCTTTTACCTAGTTTTACAGTCGAATACACGCTGTCCCCCTATTTTCCCCAAAAGATGAACAAATGAGAAATATCTTTCCAATGTTTATGAAAGTAATACTATATTTTCCCAAATTCTACAGGAACAGGCTGTTGTAATATTTATGTAGAAAAGAATCACTGGCTTATACTGACGCTGTAGAAATTCTGAGGCTCCCACGATCCTGAATTGCAGGTAACCAAAGTCACGAGCCACTGCCCACGCTAGGACGATGTTTGGAGGAGCCAACACACACGTCAGTATCATGCGTACCTGTTGTCAAGAAATTACTACAATTAATCAAATGATACAGAAGTGGTTTCTGAAATCCATGTTTGTTTGTTTATGAACCACAAATTTATAGGTAATTTCTTTTACAGGAGTTAAATCAATTAAATTAACAGTACATATTTTTTAAGAGGGGCAGCCAAAGTCTAAGTACCATTATATATATATATAATTGAGGAAAATCTTTACAACAAACCTTATATAATACCCTGGTTAATTTCAACACTTTTCAAAAACTATTAAAAAATAGTACATACTGGTGCACATTAAGAGAGTTGAATTAAACTTTCCTTCAGCAAATCCTTTCAAAAAGAGATTAGGGCATTTAATGTGTAAGGGTGATTACCAATTTAAATGTTTTTCTGCCATTAACATTCACTCCATACTCCACTGTACAGTAGAGGACGATGACTATGATAGCAATGATAAGGACGTACAGCTCATAGATCCTCTCACGGAGCACACCGTGGAACGCATAAAACAGGCAGAACACTGAAACGAAAAACATAAACTATAGAACAAACAAGCTATAATTAGAGTGTGCCAGATGATGATCGGAAGTTCCACTGGATTTAGCAGTGGAAACCTTCACTTGAGATTTAAACATCGTTTTTGTTGATGAAACAAGAGGCCCAGGGGCCTTAATATCTCACCTGGTATTTTATTTTCAATTTAAAACAGTACCATACAGGTTTATCAAATGAGTACAAGAAACAAAGTTGCAAGAAGAACTACATGTAAATCTGTTTTGGTGGGTAAGATACCAAGAAAATGAGTTTCCATCTAATGTCCCAAGGAGGGATTGCAACAAGAGGCCCAAGAGGGCCTGTATCGCTCACCTGAATATTTAAGCAGCCATAGCAAAATACTCATTAAATATTATCCTGTACTACAAATATTTCACTCGCAAACTTTGTTGGCTCCATCTGTTGAAACTACCACCCAAATATTATTATATGGTTCTATGCTTTTTGGTTCTTCTTAAGAAGTTGTATGACATATTTGACCCCTGTGACCTTATAAGGAGATCTAGGTTATTTTCATTTTCAAACTTTGTCAGGCCCCATCCCAGGAAGCTACCAGCTAAATATAAAACTTTGCTCTAAGATTATTCAGAAGAAGTCGTTTAATTGTTTGACATATTTGACCCCTGTGACCTTGTAAGTAGGTCAAAGTCATTTTCTTTTTTACACTTTGTCAGGCTCTATCCCAGGAAACCACCAGCCAACTATGAAGATTCTATACATTTTAGTTCTTCAAAAGAAGTAATTTGAAGTGATGCACATTTGACCCCTGAGACCTTGAAAGAAGGCCAAGGTCATTTTCATTCTCAAACATTTTCTTGCTCTATCCCAGGAAGCAACCAGCCAAATATGAAGATTCTATACCCTTCAGCTTTTCAGAAGAAGTCGCTCGAAGTGTTTGACTCTTTTGACCCTTGAGACCTTGAAAGTAGGTCAAGGTCATTTTCATTCTCAAACTTTGTTGGGCTCTAATCCCAGGAAACCACCAACCAAATATGAAGATTTTATACCTTTTAGTTCTTCAGAAGAAGTCGTTTGAAGTGTTTGACATATTTGACCCCTGTGACCTTGAAAGTAGGTCAAGGTCATTTTCATTCTCAACCTTTGTCAGGCTCCTTCCAACAAAGATTTCAGTGAAATATCATGACTCTAGGCCCGTTTGTTCTTCAGAAGAAGCTGTTTAAGGATCCCCGTCCCAGCCAGAGCAAAACACAAAAGAATTCCACTGTTGTTTTTCAGTGTTAGAGTCATCTGCCCCTGATTATCAAATAAAATGTATTTTGTTTCATTTTGTTCCATTGACATTTTTTTTTAAATCGAAATTTCATAATATCCCAAATAATCTGAAGAAACTAACGCAAGGTATGGGTTATTGTTCAGAAATGAATTGATTATGCAATAGCGATGCCATAGAAAAAAAAACAATGACTCATTACATTTTTAGACGGAGGGACGGGGATCCTTAAAAGTTGACGGATGACACCGGACAACGGACGGACGACGGACACCGCACCATGACATAAGCTCACTTGCCCTTTGGGCAGGTGAGCTAATTATAAACAAAAAATTAAATAAAAAATTATTTCATCTCAGGACACTTCTGTTGACCAGGTAGCACTGTCGGTTAAAGTGTAGTATAATAGAATTATCTTTCTACATATAGTCCAAAGTTCAAATTGGGGTGTAGCCCAGATGATTTTTGACATTCAGAACACTGTTGTTTGTTGTAATTTGTTAATTNCGTTCTTCAGAAGATGTTGTTTAAAGGAAACGTTGACGGACGAGGACGGACGGACGGACAGACGACGGACGCCGCGCCACGGCATAAGCTCACTTGGCACTTCGTGCCAGGTGAGCTAAAAATGCTCCAGCAGAAGTTTAATGAAAATCCCTTCATTAAAAAACAAGAGGCCCAGAGGGCCTGTATCGCTCACCTGAATATTTAAGCAGTCATAGCAAAATATTCTCATCAAATATTATCCTGTACTACAAATATTTCGCTCGCAAACTTTGTTGACTCCATCTGTTGAAACTACCACCCAAATATTATTATATGATTCTATGCTTTTTGGTTCTTCTTAAGAAGTTGTATGACATATTTGACCCCTGTGACCTTATAAGGTGATCTATGTTATTTTCATTTTCAAACTTTGTCAGGCCCCATCCCAGGAAGCTACCAGCTATATATTATAAAACTTCGCTCTAAGATTATTCAGAAGAAGTCATTTAATTGTTTGACATATTTGACCCCTGTGACCTTGTAAGTAGGTCAAAGTCATTTTCTTTTTTACATGTTGTCGGGCCCTATCCTAGGAAACCACCAGCCAAATATGAAGATTCTGTACCCTTCAACTTTTCAGAAGAAGTCGCTCGAAGTGTTTGACTCATTTGACCCTTGAGACCTTGAAAGTAGGTCAAGGTCATTTTCATTCTCAAACTTTGTCGGGGTTTACCCCAGGAAACCACCAACCAAATATGAAGATTTTATACCTTTTAGTTTTTAAGGAGAAATCGTTTGAAGTGTTTGACACATTTGACCCCTGAGAACTTGAAAGTAAGTCAAGGTCATTTTCACTCTCAAACTTTGTCAGGCTCTATCCCAGGAAGCCACCAACCAAATATGAAGATTCTATACCTTTCAGTTCTTCTTCAGAAGTCGTTTGAAGCGTTTCACATATTTGACCCTTATGACCTTGAAAGTAGGTCAAGGTCATTTTCATTCTTAAACTTTGTCGGGCTCTATCCCAGAAAGCTACCAGCCAAATATGAAGATTCTATACCTTTCAGTTCTTCAGAAGAAGTCGTTTGAAGTGTTTGACATATTTGACCCCTGTGAATTTGAAAGTAGGTCAAGGTCATTTTCATTCTCAACCTTTGTCAGGCTTCTTCCAACAAAGATTTCAGGGAAATATTATGACTCTAGGCCTGTTCGTTCTTCAGAAGAAGTTGTTTAAGGATCCCCGTCCCAGCCAGAGCAAAACACAAAAGAATTCCACTGTCGTTTTTCAGTGTTAGAGTCACCTGCCCCTGATTATCATTTTGACAATTTTGTTATCTTCCCTTGAATAGATTTTGTTTGAATAACGTTTTGACTACAGAGTTGTGTCCCTTGCATTGAAAGTCTCCAATCGCGAAAGTGTGGGCAAAAAAAGCTGTCGTAACGATATAAACAACGTCTTGGCAGTGATGGCCGACATAAAGCCAGATGTAAAATCGGCCGTTTCAAATGTAAACTAAACGCATTAACTGACAATAATAACAAACATAACGATGTCCAATATTAACTGCTAGACCAGGACTATGCGACAAAACAAAGTGACACTCGTTCACACATTGAAGTGACGCGCTGGCTACTGAGGCCCTTACTAAGCTTACTGACAATTTTACTGATGAGCCGACATCGACGTCCGATGAGGATCCCTCCAGTACTAGTGATCACGAATACGCCAATAACTTTTTAACCTGGTCACAGGGTAGACGAGTGGTTGAACTCGCGATGTTATCTGAATACCTGGACCAGAAAAGTTGTAAGGAATGCGGTACTAGGCTACGGTTGTGCAATTACCCAACAGGAAAGACATTTTGGCCTGGGAAGTATTTTATACATCACAATAGTCAGGATTATATTCTATATTTGTTATGACATGTAAATGCCCAATAGGCTTATATTTCAAGTTCATTTTTATACCACAATATTGTATGTTGTTATTTGTACATAATGTAAAAGTTTATTATTGTTGTATAGTGTCATATTTGTTAAACCACAATATATGTTGTTATCTGTATATAATGACAAAGTTTATTATTGCTATATAGTGTGATATTTTTAATATCACAATATGGTACCTATGTTGTTATCTGTACATAGTGTGAAAGTTTATTATTGTTTTGTTCAGAATGTAAAAGTTTATTATTGTTGTATATAGTGTGATTTTTTTAAATTTCACAACATAGTATGTTATTTGTACATTATGTAGAAATTTATTATTGTTGTGTAAATACAAATTAAACCTTGTTTAATGTAATTTATGAATGTCCTAGTAATACTTTGTTTTTTATTATGTTTCAATATCATGAATTTTAAAGTACTGTATTAATTGTATCTATGGTTGATATGAGCAGACGCTGACCATTAGAAGGAGGTGAGAAGGTCAAAAGTCGTATGAATTTGTGGCTATTGTTAGCACCCTATATAAGAACATGCACTAGCTGACCCTAGATCACAAGCCTACTGAAGATAATGGAAGAACAAGGTGTGTACCTTATTTTTTCATCATGATCTAATTTTTGAAAAATATCTGAAAGTGAATTTTATTACCCACCACCTCCCCTTTTGGCCTCCTAGCTTCTCAATATGATTATTACTTCTTAAATGGGCAATTTATAACCCCATCTAAGACTTTAAAAGTACATTGCACAGCGTTTTCTTACCCCATCTAATACTTTAATTTTAAGTACATTGCATAAAAACTTTAAAAGATTAAGTTTTAATATAAACATGACGTTTTTTAATAAAAACGGCCATTTTCAATTCTTACAAGCTTGCCATGGTGATATTTACTTGGAATCAGGCGTTAAGTATGTGAAACTTTGTTATTGTTGTTCATTGTGACACCTTTGCTATGACACAGTAAAGTACATTGTTTGTTATAATGTTATTCATACACAATGTGCAATTTTGTTTTATACTGGTTATTACATTTGAAGTAATTTTATTGGTTGGTAATGCCTACTATATTACATTCGTATATAAAAAGTGCTATATTGTATGTTGTAAATTGTATATATGACTTTTTGAGATTTATAATTATTATTAGTACAAATGTAAGAGTTGTCTCTCTTTTTTGTTTAGTTTTTTTGTATCTTTATAATTTTTTATAAAATAATTAAGTCTGCAAGATATTTATTTTTTGTCACCTATATTCTCTTTTCGTTGATCTAAACGTGTTGCATTGGCACTCGGAATAT